TCCCCCATTCGATTGTGTAACCGATTCTTCACAATATTCATAGCAGAAAATACTCGCTCTACACTTGCGGTCGCAACAGGTAGGATTAGTGCTAGTGTCAGAAGCAAGTACACTAAAGGATAGATCTTATCTTTATTTGTCTCAACCATCTTTTGCGCAAGATCAGTAATCCCTTTCAATTATGTAAATTCATTGTTAGAGCTCATGTCCCAAATGTAATTCTCAAGTTGATCTTCAAGTAATTTGAGGTCATGCTCAGAAAAATCTCTTGGATAAAATTGGGCAAGTCGCATCAACTTTGCTTTATCAAAAGCAGAGAATGAATTACTTGGACTCAAGCATGCCATACAAAGAAGTAATTCAGTATTCTTCTCATTGAACCGATCATTTAACTCTCGGAGCTGAATATCAATGACATCAACGAATAAATCAACACGATAATGATGTAAGTTTGTGATAGGCTGAGCTTTACGCTTTGGTCTCCCTCCACTGGAAAAAATATCATCCATTTTAGGAATTTCAATATGATACTTGCCACAAAAGAAAGAAACTTGATCAAGTAAAGAATCCCAACCATTATCTCTCATGCTTTGCAATCTTCCTTTACATATTTTGACCAAGTCCATGGCATTCACAATATCTTGATCTTTCTTTTGTAATGCCTGAGACAAGTCGTTTGTGATTCCCAAAATTCTTTTCATCAAGTGTAGACCAAAAATGAAATTGAATGATTGCATAAAAGTCAATAGAACCTTTGCTTCAATTTTTGTTCGTAACCTGATCCATCTGTTCTTACAATCTTAAGCACATCTATCACAGAAGGGAACATGTTTTCCAAACTGATTAAACAATTATAATGAGAGCTCCATCGTGTATCGCTAGACCGCTTAAGATTAGTTTCTTGATTCAGGCCTTGCCCACTTAAGAGCTCATTATTATTGAGTGCTTCAAAAATTGCATCAGCATGCTTTTCTCTCAGCATATCACAACGCTTAGCGGATGCACCCACAACATTCACCACATTAGAAACCATAGTAAATAAATCTGCAATTTCTGAATGTTTCTTTGCCACAGCTACCAGAGCTAGTTGAAGTTGATGAGCAAAACAATGAACATAAAAAGCAGAGTCATTCTCATTTAGAATGAGTGTTTTAAGACCACTAAACTCACCTCTCATATTACTTGCGCCATCATAACCTTGCCCTCGCAATCTAGAGATGCTTAATCCATGTCTCGAAAAGAAATCATCAACGGCTAACTTGAGTGAGGAATATTTAGTATCTGTAATATGCACAATACCTACAAAACGTTCAATTACCCGACCTTTATCCACATAACGTAGCACAATTGCCATCTGCTCCTTTGAAAACATGTCACATGATTCATCAACAAGAATTGCAAATAATGAATCACCAATATCTCTAATGATTGCATTGATAATTTCAGTTGAAATAGTACTTGAAATGTCCTTCTGGATATCATGTGATGTCAACTTCATATTTTCAGGAGCATTTTTTAGTGTTACAGCTTTTATATCATCATTGAAACGACATAGCCATCGTAAAAATGCAAGAAAATTCCCTTGATTCGTTGAATTTTCAGATTCATCATGCCCACGAAATGGAAGCCCTTGTTGTAAAAGTATCCTGCTAACACCAACTGATAAACCTAAACGAGTTCGATAATCAATTCGATCTTGGTTTGAGTGTTTTGAGAGAATTGTTTCAATATGCTGTTTTTGGTTTAATAAGACCTCACAACTTCTCCAAGCTTTATTATGGGCACTATTCGGTCCTCCAATATGAATTTGTAGTCTATCTTTTTTCTTCCAATTCGAAAATCCAACACCAACAAAAGATTCACCACCAGATTGCTCTCTATCAGGTTTAAATAGATAACAACATAGACAAAAGGCAGCATCTTTTTCTATGCTGTACTCTAACCAAGTAGGAAACTCACTAAACCAACTAGGATTAAATTGTCTTTGTTTTGCTCCAAAATTTTTGTAAGGAAAATTATGCCCTCGAGGTTGACAAGGACCTTTTTGGAGATAAGCTCTTCGAATTTGGTCTCGAACATTTGGATGGTAACTCAATATTTGATTACGTAATCCGGGATCAGTTGGCAAATTTTCCAAGCTAACTTCCATAGTTTGGTTTGAACTACTATCATTTTTCTTTTGACTCTTTGCAGGTGACGACTCCACTAACTCAGACTTTGATTTTCTTTTGAAAAATCTTTCCATAACTGAAATACATATATGAACTAAATTTAAATTGAAACAATTATGAACATCTTCTCAAACTTATAAACCGAAGCAAATTGAGCATTCAATTCAAAACAATATATTAATCAAACCAATAGAAAATCATATATATAGAAATTTATAAATTAAAATTAAAATTTCACCAACACAAGTTCACAATTGCATAAATAATTACATACTACGCAAGAAAAATTACAAGGGATAGACAAATACATACTTGGAGTTGAATAGCGATTTACCAAATATCTCCAAAGCCTTTTCTATTTGGTAATCTACACATAAATTGAAAGACCCATTAAAATCAATAGAAAAAAAAAACTTGATAATATAATTAGAATTTGAGAAGAAAAAAACTCACAATCAATTGCCTGGTCTGGTCGTGTTTCTAACCCAAGAAAAAAGAAAAAGGCTTAGGTTTATTGATTTATACAAGAAGACAATATATAATAATAATAATAGTTCTAATCCTTTTAGGAATGGGTAATGTATGATTTTAGGATATTGGCTGTTAATAGGGCCCACGTTGCTGAAATCTACTTTGGTTGCTTGCTGGATCACGCCACTATGGCTTAAATTCTTAGGCTGAAATCTGCTTTGGCCCATATGCCTTCTACAATCTTCTTTTGCCAGACTTTGTATAGTGTATACTAGAACTATTTTTTTTTAAATAAAATTTCAGTGGGGGCCAGTGACTGCACTGGTCCCCATGTGCCTCCGCCACTGCCCTCTCTCCAACCACCCTGCTGCAACCACAATTCCCCCCTCCCCTCCTTAACTTATTAATCCAATGTAAACTATAATGACTACACATGATAGAACACACATCAAGAATATACAAGTGCACATCTTCTCAATCTGATCCCTTCATGTACTGATTCTAGATGGGGTGAATTTTTTTTGTGTGGGTTGGCTTGATTGGTTGAGCAGGGGCACTTGTATTTTATATGCATCTGCCTAGGAGTCTCTCCCATCAAGAAAAACTCTCAAGCAGTCCTTATTGCATTAGGAAATAAAAACCCTAGTCCATATTAATTAGAAATCCCTTTGGCCCATGTATTTAACTTAAACACTCATACAAAGGTAGGCCGAGTAGCAATTGAGTCCTTGATCATTATTGAGCCCAAGACAACCCTATGATGATTAGAAGACCACTTAAGTAGGTAATTAGAATAATCCAATGTATTATATTCTCCCACTTGGACAAATAATCATCAAGGCTTCAAAGTTGATCACTATATGGCCATGTAGAACTCAACATCACTCTATTCCTAAATCAAGTCATTGTCAAAAATGTAAACTTACATGGAACTGTCGGAACACATTGAATTTATAACATCCAAGGTTCTTACAACCACACATATAAGCTTGCAAAATCACATAAGGCTTCCATCAAGACTAGGACTCAGAATGATCATGACAAAACTTAATTTGTGTTGACTTTGTAATTGAGTCAATATGCTCTTTGTG